TGTGGGTGTATGTGTCTGTGTGTGTGTGTTTGGTGTGTGTATGTGTATGTATGTGTGTGTGTGTGTGTGTGGTGTGTGTGTCTGTGTGTGTGTTTGGTGTGTGTATGTGTGTGTGTGTGTGTGGTGTATGTGTGGTGTATGTGTCTGTGTGTGTTTGGTGTATGTGTATGTATGTGTGTGTGTGTCTGACTGCTTTTGGTTGGGACTTGAGCGCAAAAGTCCTTTTACGCATGTGCCAGACAGCATCTGAGCAGACAGGGGGGACACACACTGCCCTTCCTATCCCCCCATTGCCTTCCCTTCCCCTTCCCCTTCCCTTTCCCCTTCCCTTTCCCCTTCCCCTGTCCTTGCCCCTCTCCCCCTCTTAACGCTGCCACTTTTTTTTCACCCCTCACCCCATCTCCTCCCTCTCCTCCTCCTGATCCCCAGGTCCCAGAGAGTGATCTAAAGGGGTTTCTCTTCCCCCACACACACACATCATTGGTACTCTCACTAATAACTCTTACTTCTCTCTCTCTCTCTCTCCTGTCTCGCTTTCTCCTCTCTCCTATCTGCTCTCTCTCTCTTTCTCTCTCTCTTTCCTACCTTCTCTCTCTCTCTCTCCTGGCATTCTCTCTCCTACCCTCTCTCTCTCTCTCTTACCTTCTCTCTCTCTCCTACCCTCTCTCTCTTACCTTCTCTCCCTCCTCCTGGCATTCTCTCTCCTACCCTCTCTCTCTCTCTCTCTCTTACCTTCTCTCTCTCCTACCCCCTCTCTCTCTCTCTCTCTCTCTTACCTTCTCTCTCTCTCTCTTACCCCCTCTCTCTCTCTCTTACCTTCTCTCTCTCTCCTACCCTCTCTCCCTCTCTCTCTTCTACCTTCTCTCTCTCTCTCCCACTTTCTCTCTTTTCCCCAATCGACCACTTTCTTCTCGGATCTCACTTACCTCCAACCACGACTGATTGACTGGTTCACTTCTCCCCATCTCCACCCCCCCCCACCACCCCCTCTTCTCCCCATCTCTATCTCACCTCTTCCACCTTCCCCCTCTCCCTCTCTCTCTCTCACACACACACCCTCCCAAATTCCCTTATCCCTCTGAGTTGGTTGCATCACATTCTGGTAAACACAATTTCTCTCTCTCTCTCTCTCTCCCAAAGATCTTATTCCTTTGGGCTGGTGGGTGGCAGCCTCCCATTCTGATAAACACATCCTCTCTCTCTCTCTCTCTCTCTTCCTTCCTCCCCTCTCCACACACTCACACACAAGACAGCAGCAAATAACACACACACACACACATATATATATATATATATGGAATATATAAAGCAAAACCACTTATAGATATATTTCTCTATATATATATATTTATATTTCCAATTGCATGCATTTCCCAAGCATTCTTTTTTTTTGGGGGGGGGGGGGGGTGATGGAGGGAAGAGATCTCTCTCTCTCTCTCTCTCTCTATCAGGATCTGCCATTTTTTTCGATGCCAATTTATATTTCAAAGTGCCCCAGATCCTCTGTGATGAAAGACGCCATTGTCGAGCACATTTTTTGCCCCAGGGCTTAATTGTTAACAGGAGGTAACCCTCCACGCATGTCAATAGGGATCTCTGCTGAATAACCCCTTTGTATTTCACCATCTCCTCTGAAATATTGCCCCCCCTCCCCTCCCCTCCTCCCCATCTCCCCTCCCCTCCCCTTCTTGTGTGTATCTCTGTACAGTATTTGTGTGTGTGGGTGTATTTGTGTGTGTGGATTTGGGTGTGTGGGAGTGTATTTGTGTGTGTGTGTGTGTGTATTTGTGTGTGTGTGGGGTGTGTATGTGTGTGTGGGTGTATTTGTGTGTGTGGGTGGGTGTATTTGTGTGTGTGTGGGTGTGTGTGTGGGGGGTGTATTTGTGTGTGTATTTGTGTGTGTGTGTGTATTTGTGTGTGGGTGTATTTGTGTGTGTGGGTGTGTGGGTGGGTGTATTTGTGTGTGTGGGTGTGGGTGTATTTGTGTGTGTGGGTGTATTTGTGTGGGTGTGTGTGTGTGTGTGTATTTGTGTGTGGGTGGGTGTATTTGTGTGGGTGTGTGTGTGTGTGGGTGTATTTGTATTTGTGTGGGTGTATTTGTGTGTGTAGGTGTATTTGTGTGTGTGGGTGTATTTGTGTGTGAGTGTGTGTGTGTGTCTGGGTGTATTTGTGTGGGTGTGTGTGGGTGTATTTGTGTGGGTGGGTGTGTGTGTGGGTGTATTTGTGTGTGTGGGTGTGTGGGTGTGGGTGTGTGTGTGTGGGTGTATTTGTGTGGGTGTGTGTGTGGGTGTATTTGTGTGTGTGTGTGTGGGTGTATTTGTGTGTGGGGGTGTATTTGTGTGTGTGGGTGTATTTGTGTGTGTGGGTGTATTTGTGTGTGTGGGTGTATTTGTGTGTGTGGGTGTATTTGTGTGTGGGTGTGTGTGTGTGTGGTGTATTTGTGTGTGTGGGTGTATTTGTGTGTGGGTGTATTTGTGTGTGTGGGTGTATTTGTGTGTGGGTGTGTGTGTGTGTGGGTGTATTTGTGTGGGTGTGGGTGTGTGTGTGTGTGGGTGTGTGTGTGGGTGTATTTGTGTGTGTGGGTGTATTTGTGTGTGGGTGTATTTGTGTGTGTGGGTGTATTTGTGGGTGTGGGTGTGTGTGGGTGTGTGTGTGTGGGTGTATTTGTGTGTGTGTGTGTGGGTGTATTTGTGTGTGTGTGTGTGTGTGTGGGTGTATTTGTGTGTGTGTGGGTGTATTTGTGTGTGTGGGTGTATTTGTGTGGGTGTGTGTGGGTGTATTTGTGTGTGTGGGTGTATTTGTGTGTGTGGGTGTGTGTGTGGGTGTGGGTGTATTTGTGCGTGTGGGTGTATTTGTGTGTGTGGGTGTATTTGTGTGTCTGTGTCTCTGGTCGCACTTTTTCCACCCGACAAATGTTTTCGGTCGTTCTCTGTTTGCCTTATGTGATGCTCCTCTACACTCTCACTCACTCACTCACTCACTCACACAAATACTCACTCACTCAAATCAATCACACTCTCACACTCACTCAATCACACATACTCACTCACACACTCACTCACACATACACACACACACTCATTCATATATATATACGCACACACACGCACACACTCCCTTGCGGTTGTTTTGCATCGCGGTTTGTACAGTCACTACAGTTGGATTGGGTTGGAGTTTGCCTCGGGGTGAGCCTGACTGTTGGGGAGAACAGATCTGTTGAAATGTGAAATGTATTTTTCCATATATGCCTAAATATATACAGTATATATATATATATATGTTGTGTGTGTGTGTGTATATATATACACAGAGAGAGGAGTGAATGAATTGTAACTGAGGCTGAAGGAGCACTTGTGATCTTAAAACCTTGACTTGAAATGCTTTGAAATAACATAAAACAGTTATAGGATGGAGCGAGCGAGAGAGAGAGAGAAAAAAGATAAGATAGATAGACAGAAAGAGAGAAAAAGAGAAAGAAAGAAAGAGAGAGAGAGAGAGATGGGCCACTGTTAATGGAAATATGGGTGGCTTTTATGGCAGGATAGTGATGGAATGCACATCAACCTCTTGCTTAGCCTTCCCTTGTTTGGTTTCCACACTTTTTAAAAAAAAAGTTCTTTTCGTTTAACAGTAAATGTCTTTTCTTTTCAATGGGGGACAGAGTTAAGTCAGTGTGGACCAAGTCCCCGACTAACAGCTCCTAAAAGCTGTGCGCCTTTGGTGTGTATCTCCTGTGACTTACTTTTTTTCATTTAAAAAAAGGTATCCAACTTATTTAAAAATATATATAATGATGATAATAATAATCCTTGCATTTGATATCGCGCTTTTCACGTCGGGAGGACGTCCCAAAGCGCTTCACAGAACACACTGTAAAGTGAATTGACTGTATATTTGTGGGCGAACGCGGCCGCGGCAGCCAATTGCGCACAGCAATGTCCCACAAACAGTCGTAGATTGAAAATTACCAATTTATTATTGTTTTTGGGATTATTATTAGGTTCTATGTGGAGTAAGGAAACTTGCCCAAGGTTTCGCTCTGCCTGGAATTGAACTCAGGTCTCTCGCTTGCAAAGCGAGTGCTCTAACCACTGAGCTACAGGACTCAACACTGTGTGTACACGTGTGCACCTATTGCTCGCCTTTGCTTATTGTTTCCCCCCATCCCCGACCCCAACACACAAAGTCACACACACATAGACTCTCCTCCCAACACCACTGCAAAGATCGACAGTAAAAGTGTTAAGGTCCCTTTCCCACCCCACACACACACCCCCACACACACACCCACACACACACCCACACACTCGAGCCCTTACTCTTTCTCCCCTTCAGGCAAATACATTGTTGAACAGACCAGTCAGCAAAGGTAACAGGGGTCAATTGTCTCATGGTGTTTTATATATATATATAATAATAATAATCCTTGCATTTGATATGGCGCCTTATTATGTCTTCGAGGCGTCTCAGAGCGCTTCACAGAATATACCGTAAACTGAATTGACTGTATGTTTTGCGGGCAAAACGCGGCAGCCGATTGCGCACAGCAGCGTCTCCACAAACGGTCGTGGTTTGAG